GCCAATCCTCCTCCTTTTTTTCCCCAAAGCCCCAGTAGATAGTTGTATGTCATAGTTGCACATCCTTCTAGTTGCTGTATGTGGGACTCGGCCTCAGCATGGCCGGAGAAGCGGTGCATCGGTGTGCGCTCGGGATCTGAACCCGGGCCGCCAGTAGCGGAGCACGCTCACTTAACTGCTAAGCCACGGGGCCGGCCCAAGAGTATCTTTTAAATCCATGCTATATCTGTGCTTTGTCTCTCTTTTTATTGCTAGTATTATTTATGTATTATACTCTTTTTTTCTCTTTCCAGAGATTTTCTAGATTTTCTATTTTTATTAGTCTTTTCACCTTATACATAAGTCAGGGTTTCTACAGGAAAGACAGTACACTCAAAATGGATAGTTTGAGCAGAATTTTAGTAAAGGGATATTTGTAAAGGTGTAGAAAGAGTATAGTGCAATCGTAAGGACGAGTACAGTGCCCTGGGACTGGGAAAAGTTGGTTGTCACCACTTGAGGGCAAAGGCCAGAGGATGGAGCAGTTACCAGCAGCTGGAGAAAGAGAAGGCTGCCTGGCTGGCAGATAATTTCAACATCTGTGCACATGGGATCCCATGTGGCAGCCCTCTCCTAAACCATATCCATTCTCTCTGAGATCTGCTATCTGCTCTCTCCTCCTGCCTAGGTGTGGTAAAGGCTCCCCACTCTTGTTGCCCCCAGGGTGCTTCACTGTCCTTTAGAAATTTCCCTTAACCCTGCTCACACCTTGGTAAACATGCCCTTCCCAAAACTCCCCTCAGTTACCCCACTCGAATGGGCTATTTGTTTCCCATCAGGACTCTGACTGACACCATCTCCAGCCTGCTGAGCCATTCTTTTCTTTGTCCTTGTTCAGCTTCCTCTCCCATCCCTCAATCATCAGCGCTTCTAAACATAACCCTTGTCCTGAAGTCCCCTACACAACTCCCGTCTCTTTACTCTCAGTAGACAACCTCACCTTTTATGTTATTGATTAAATAGAGGCCATCTGGGCTGATCTGCTTAAATTTATGCTTGGAGGAAATTTACATGCACCACAGGCCGCCCCACCTCATTCTTCCAGGTGGAGTGTCCCTCCTCATCTTCAAGTCCAGCCTCTCTTCCTGGATCCTATGTCCTCTGGCCACTTCAGTCAGGCTTCTCGCCCCTGTCTTCAGCCTCTCTATTTTTCCTTCTTTCTTCTTCTTATTCCGTAGCATAGAAATATCAGGATATGTTCATTCTTAGAAACAAAATCCTTTTCTTGTTTTTGTTTCTTGTTTTAACAGCCCCTTTTCTCTCTCCTACCCAATGAACCAAACTTCTCCATTTCTTCAACTCACATCATTCCTTCAACCGTTGCTCTCTGGCTTTTGACTCCATCATAATGGGGGCACTGGAGGACAGATGGACATAATCCCGCAAGCCCTTCAACTCTTGCTATGGACAATTGACAATTTTTCAACCTTATATTAGTACTCTGCAACACACCATCAAGACAAATCCCCTACCCTCACTTCTACCCCGATGCCACCCCTAAACACTTCTTGGATTTAAAAAAAAATCTGGAACTAGCATGACCCATCATTCCTTAGAAACTATTCTCAATTACCAGGGGTTTCTTAACTGTAAGTACAAAAGACGTGTTTCAGTCCTTACCTTAGTTGAAGTCCCTACAGCGTTTGACGCTCTTGATCACACCCTCCTTACATCTCTGTGCTCCCACAGCTTTGTGACACTTCAGTTTCCTGGTTCTTGTTGTACCTCTTGGGTCATCTTTCTTTGGTCCCTTTCCTGTTCTTCTCCTCCTTTTCCCATGCTTCAGATATCCTCTTCCTCATGCCTCTTCTCTTTCCCCTTTATGTCAAATATTCTTAATCTGAGAGTCCCCTGAAATTGTGTATATGTTTGTGTGACTTTTAACACATCCTTTTTTCTGGAGAGACAGTTGATAAATAAAAGCAATAGGATGTATTAGAGTATGTGAGGAAGCCATTTGGTTTAAAACCAATTCAACCTGACCTTGTTTTTCCAAAAGGGCCCAATGTGGCCTCTTGAGCATGCATTATACATCTGCTTTAAACACTTACAATGTCCCAAAGACAAGAATGACGCTCTTAAAGATAGGGATGTAGCTTCCCCCCATATTGGCATTTCTTGAAGGATAAATAGCTCTTCCTGGAAACTAAGCATTAATTACTGACCTGCTGTGCTCACCTTGTGACCACTGACCTGCTGTGCTAGCAAAGCAATCTCATGACAGTTGTAAAAGGGATATTCCCATCACATGTGATGTATGCTCTTTGTTCCAAGACAGTATACAACCACTCTGTATACCCTACTTCTTTGATGTGCTTCCTTCCCTGGGGAAGGAAGCCCCCCAGGCTATAGCCCTCACAGTTCATGATAGACTCACCCCAAATTTTGATTTATAGATTGATTATGGATTATTTGCATCGGCACAGTCCAGAACTTTCATCACATTCTCAAAGGGATCAAGAATCCCTGAAAAGGTTAAGTCCTCTGCAACTTGGTATCCCTGGGCAATCTCATCCACTCATGTTTTCTTCCCTCCTACACGCTGATGATTTCCAAGTCCTTTTGTTGGATCTGACGCTCCCCAACATATAGCACCTCAGTGGTTTTCATCTCCTGTCCTTTACATGTGGCATAAGGCCCTCTAAGATCCCAACCTGACTGCCTCTCCAGCCTCCTGTCTTCAAGTTCCCTGCCTTCTGGTTTGGGTTTCAGAAATAGTGAACTGCTTTTAGCCCTGTAGGGAGAGTGGGACTCCGAGGGAGCCCTCTTTCTAATTACTCTGCACCAGGATGTTTCTCCCCGCCCTGAGGACCACTCACCCTTGGTCTGGGAGTTACATCCAGTTGTTGATTAAAGTGGTTTCCTGTCCCAATTCTTTCTGTCTTTCTTTTCAGTAACATCAAACATGGATATGTTCGCAGGTAATATGCTGTTGTGTTCCACAGGCAAGATAAATTTGCAAAGGAAGAGTTATTTTAATTGGAAGGTGATTTCAGATGCTTTAATGAATTATCTTACTCTAATATTCTAAATATTCAAATGGGGAAAAAAACTTCAGCTCAAGCTTCACCTCCTCCAGGAAGCTTTCTCAACACCATCCTGCCTTCCAGGCTAGATGAGTTGCACTCGTTGGCCCTTACATCTTTTTCTCATTGTACCTACCACACTGAGTTATAATTCTGTTTCTGTATTTGTCACCCCGACTTGAGAACAGAGATGTAAGTCTTCTTTATCTTTGTGCCTCCAGCACTTAACACAGTATCTGCAACAGAGAAGGTTCTCAATAAGTGTTAATTGAGCTGAACGGAAATGAAAAATGATGGTCCTTCCCCTCACAGACTTCTTCAGATGGGGTTTCTTGCTTGACACCTGGTGTGTCCTAACTCCAGCCTACTCCCCACATTGCTCCCAAGAAATGTCATTCTACGAAAAAAAACTGGTTCCTAATGGTGCCTAAGCAAGAATCATAAAAGACATATAGATTAGACTAAAAAAGTGAAACTTCTGGGTCCGGCCTGGTGGCGTAGTGGTTAAGTTTGTGCGCTCTGATTTGGCGGCCCGAGGTTTGCAGGTTTGGATCCTGGGTGTGGACCTATGCACTGCTCATCAAGCCATGCTGTGGTGGTATCCCACATACAAAATAGAGGAAGATGGGCACACATGTTAGCTCAGAGCCAATCTTCCTCACCAAAAAAAAAAAAAAAAGAAAGAAAGAAAGTAAAACTTCTATACCGAACACTTATTTATGCCAAAGTAAATTCTTATGGTGCAAAGATTTAAATATTTAAAAAAAATTAAATCTCAAAAATAATCAAAGAAAATCAGTGATTTTTAAAAAAAATGTAAGTAGAGAAAGCCCTTCTTTTGTGCGTGTGTGTGTGTGTGTGAGGAAGATCAGCCCTGAGCTAACATCTATTGCCAATCCTCCTCCTTTTTTTTTTCCCCAAAGCCCCAGTAGATAGTTGTATGTCATAGCTGCACATCCTTCTAGTTGCTGTATGTGGGAACGCGGCCTCAGCATGACCAGAGAAGGGGTGCGTCGGTGCATGCCTGGGATCCAAACCAGGGCCACCAGTAGCAGAGCCCACGCACTTAACCGCTAAGCCACGGGGCGGCCCGAGAAAGCCCTTCTAACCATCACTTCAAATCAATAAGCCATGAAGGGTGACTGGTAAATTTGCCTACATAAAAAAGTAAGGCTTCTGAATGGTTAAAAAAAAAATCATAAACGAAGTAAAAAAAACTCTATTTTGATCTGGTAATCTTAAATTTACCTTTAATAGTTATTTAAAAGAACTTTTAGGCGAAGATTCTTTTTATTGTTTCTGAAGATTTTGAGGTCTCAGAAAAGGAGATATTTATGTTAAGCCCACATCCTTTTAGCAGTATTTCTTTCACGACTGCTGGTAATCAGTATTATCCAATAAGCAACCATGTCAAAATTAATATAATACTGTTGATGGATAATATAAAAATAAGATTGTTCTTTTCTCTCATATTTACCCTTTTTTTTTTTCTGAGGAAGATTCTCCCTGAGCTAACATCTGTGCCAGTCTTCCTCTACTTTGTATGTGGGTCACCACCACAGCATGGCTGATGAGTGGTGTAGGTCTGTGCCCAGAATCCGAACCCAGGCTGCTGAAGCTGAGCACGCCAAGCTTAACCACTATGCAATGGGGACGGCCCCTCATATTTACTTTTAAAATCCTATACTTTAGTTAAGTGCTGAATGTCTGTTAACATAGAATATTTGCATCCTTATGGAGACTAAGAAATCTTTGACCGTATTCTTCACTTCTTCAAAAAGAAAATTTGTCCTAATTTAAATAAGAAAAGCATGACTTTGTATTTTTAATTAGTTGTCAAAATGTGAGTGTCTTAGTCCATTTGAGTTGCTATAACGAAATACCAGAGACTGGGTAGCTTATAAACAACAAAAATTTATTTTTCACAGTTCTGGTGGCTGGAAGTCCAAGATCAAGGTGCCAGCAGATTTGGTGTCTGGGGAGCGCCCACTTTCTGGTTCATAGATGGTGCCTTCTCACTGGTCCTCACATGGTAGAAGGGAGGGGTGAGGGAGCACTCCGGGGTCTCTTTTATAAATGCACTAATCCCATTCACGAGGGCTCCACCCTTATAACCTAAGTACCTCCTACAGGCCCCTCTCTTCCTACAGGCCCCTATCCCCCATCACCTTGGGGGATAGGATTGCGACATAGAATCTGGGGGGGACACCAATATTCAGTCCATAGCCATGACCCTTGGAGAATATAGGCTAAGTGTATAAAACAGCTACTTCTTTTTTACCAATATTTTACGTTGAAATATAATATTTGGTTATAAAAATCTCAAAATGTTATTGTTTCTCAAAACTATGCTTCTATTGACATTATAAGGGAGGTGCATATATAGATAGAGGGAAGTTGAGACTTTGTCTTCCAAATCTATATTTAAACCTTAATCAGGTAATTTAAGTTTTTGTGATTAATCTGTAATTGCCACATTTACAAAGAAACTCCTGGTTAAGAGAAAGTTGTTTTTTTTTTTTTTTTGTGAGGAAGATCAGCCCTGAGCTAACATCCATGCCAATCCTCCTCTTTTTGCTGAAGAAGAATGGCCCTGAGCTAACATCTATTGCCCATCCTCCTTTTTTTCCCAGTAGATAGTTGTTTGTCATAGTTGCACATCCTTCTATTTGCTGTGTGTGGGATGCTGCCTCAGCATGGCCAGACAAGCGGTGTGTCAGTGCACGCCTGAGATCCGAACCTGGGCCTCCAGTAGCGGAGCACGCGCACTTAACCGCTAAGCCATGGGGCTGGCCCCTGAGAGAAACTTTTTAAAACAGATCGTTTGGTGTTGCGTTTAGGGTCAATGTTCATTTATGTAAATCACCTATGACATATGGAAAATTTTTTCAAACTTAGGAAAATGCAGTTTTAATAGGGCTTCATTGAATTATACTTAAACTATGCAAAATATTTGTGTTACACAGTTAAGTACAATTGAATAAATAAGATTACTTAAACAGACAAAAGTAGACTTTCCTTTCACATTTAAATTATATTTGTTTCACACATAAGACTGCCTGAAAACAATTTAGAAGAGACTATTATTAATCTTGACTATGACAGATTATTGCATTTTTTAGCCTCTTTTTAAAATGGTAACTAGTTTGGAATTTTAAGTTCTACTTGTCTTCAAATAGATGGTTTAGAATAAAACTTAAATGGCTCACTCCACCACCATGACCACTAAATTGTTTGTGGACCAGAAATCGATTCTATCAAAGTTGCTTACCTTGTATATTTCGATGATAAGCTTCAAATGCTGTAAGCAGAATTTGGGTTTGACTACATTTGCTTAACCCTGATCGGATGCTGATGATGGTTCCAGGATGGCTTCTGGTTTCATATCCAACACATCTGTGCCTATAATATATTACCACCTATTCGTGCTCCTGTTCCTGCATATTATCGAGGATTAATTCAAAGAAAGTCACCTTTCAGAAATGGTGCTGAATATAGTCACCAACTTCAGTCTCCACCGTTTGTACTCTATCTGATTTTCTCTGTTCAAAAACTGAGGTTTTACTTCCTGCAGAGGCAAGAGAAAAATCAGGGGCTGGCCAGGTGGCGTAGCAGTTAAGTGTGCCGGCTCAGCTTTGGCGGCCCAGGGTTTGCAGGTTCAGATCCTGGGCGCGCACCAATGCACCGCTTGTCAAGCCATGCTGTGGCGGTGCCCCATATAAAGTAGAGGAAGATGGGCATGGATGTTAGCTCAGGGCCAATCTTTCTCAGCAAAAAAAAAAAAAAAGAGGAGGATTGGCAACGGACGTTAGCTCAGGGCTGATCTTCTTCCCCCGACCCACCCAAAAAAGAAGAAAATCAATATCCTGTCTTGCTTTATCTGAAACTTGATAGTTGATCTCCAGCGAGGTCAGCAGGGACATGGCCTGATGCAAGCTGCTGTCAAGGAAGTCTGGGGCTGGCCCAGGAGCTGGCTGGCTCTTGACACCCATCCTGTTGGGCTGGAAGAGGCGGACCCATCCAAGTTGGCTGAGAATCTCCAGAGGGCGGGGGCAATTGTCCTCAGAGCTGAGAGCATAGTACACTGAGAAAGGGAGGGATCTAGGACTGGCCACAGTCACTTTCTGAACCCTCCTCAGCCTCTGCCCCTTCAGGACCCCCTTCCTTCTAACGTTTTATTTTGAAAAATTTTCAACCCTACGAAAAAGTTGAGAGAATGATAAAGTTAACCTCTATGTATCCTTCACCTAGCAGTTGATAACATTTTGCCTCACAAATATTCTTTAAATAAATTCCTTCATCTGCTACATCAGGCAGTGTCTGTTCCTAGTGACCAGAGAATTTGGCTAACAGAATCATGAATAGGAAATTCACAGAACAAGAAACATAAATAACAAGTAAACCTGTGAAAAACTGCTCAACCTAACTGCCTTTTAAAAATACAAAGTAAAACAAGGAGATACAATTTTTCAATGATAAGGACCAACATGGGGAAGAGTGTGGGGAGACAAGCATCCTCTCTTATTCTATGGTGGAGTGTAACCCGGTACAGTCTCTGGAGGGTGGTTTCACAGTATATAGGATGGGTTATATAGGAAAAAACTGGAAATGTCCCCACAGGATTTGGTAAAAAAGTATGGTATATTCATATAATGAAATACTATGAAAGCTGGAAAAAACTATATATCTCTCTATTATTATAGATATATATATTTATAGAAATTATATTAATTAATCATAAATATTAATATAAAACATAATATATAAATATAATATAATATAAAATTAATATAGAATATATTTCTATAATAATATACTATAACATAGAAATATATTGTCAAAAATATTATTGATTATCAATATCAATATATTGATATATCTATCAGTTCATTAGTAGTGGTTATCGTTGGGTGGTAGGATAACAGGTGATTTTAATTTTCATCTTTATTCTTACCTATTTTTGTCTGAACTTTTCATAATGGATATGAATTTTATAATTAGAAAAAAATCTATGTGGAAAAGGTTTTTAAAATAAACAAAAATGCCCAAAAGACAAACAACAGGGAAAAAAAAACCCAGTTCTGTTGGTGCCTGCATCATGGTCTAAAGGATAAAGTCCACATTCTTTTGCTTGGCACCAAAGTCCTCTGCAGGACCTTTAACCCTTTGAGGTGGAGTTAGTTGCTTTCCTAGTATCATAATCTATTTATAGGTCTATAAATCAGAGTCTATGAACTCCTTGAGGAAAGAATTTTCCCCAGTGCCATCCCAGTGCCCAGCACCTAGGCAAGGTGCTCAGTAAAGGTTTGTTGAATGACTGAATGATTGTGGTGAGCACTGAGACCAGAAGGATAGGTTGGGGCCAGACTAAGAAAAAGGAAGTGAAAGCTCTGGGGCACCTTTGTCCTAGGGACTGTAGGGCTCCTCTTGTTACTCTCATTCCCTATTTAACACTGGCAACAGCAGGTAGAGCAGGAGTGGTTTGGCCCATTTGCTGTGTGGTGTCTGTGAAATAGTCCAGAGATGGCAGTGCCAGCTGGGGCTGACCCAGCTCTGTGGGGGCAGTGACAGGAAGGGAGAACCAAGGCTCCTGACCAAGCCAGGCTTCAGGAAATCTCCTACCCCCTCATCTGTTCAGCTGATGATAGCCGTGCCTCAACCATGAGTGTACCCAAAATGCTCTGTGGCCAGAGTCTGGTTAAACAACTTTGAAAAGGCAAATATTTATACTGAACGAGGCTCCTGGCAACCAAGGCCCAAAAGTGCATGTTTCTAGAAAAGGGGGTGAATTGGTTTTTTCTTGCTGCTGTAACAAATTACCACAAACTTGTTGGCTTAAAGCAACACAATTTACCATCTTGCAGTCGTGTAGTCAGAGGTCCAAAACAAGTCTTACAGGGTTAAAATTAAGGTAGGGCTGCTTTCTTTTCTGGAGACTCAAAGGGAAAATCCGTGTCCTTACCTTTTCTAGCTTCTAGAGGTCACCCACATTCCTTGAGTCATGGCCCCTTCCATCTTCAAAGCCAGCATGTTGCATCTCTCTGACCATTCTTCTGTAGCCACATCTCCCTCTAACCACAGTGGGGAAAAATTCTCCTCTTTTAACAACCCATGTGATTATATTGGGCCTACCCAAATAATCCTTGATAATCTCCCCATCTCAAAGTCCTTAACCTTAATCACAGCTGCAAAGTCCCTTATGCCATGTAAGGTAATACATTCACAGGTTCCAGAGATTAGGATGTGAATATCTTTGCTGGGTGGGGTTGGGGGGGGCATTATTCTGTCTACTACAGGGTATGATATGGAGAAAAGTCTAAAATGGTTAATAATAAGGAGGCAGTTCTGTGTATAATGACACGAAAAATATCCATGATATATTTTTAAATGAAAATAAGCAAGTTTTGTAAATATGTATAGAATGATCCCAGTTTTGTGGAACCTCCCCTTCCCGTCACTAAACCCTGAGTGTATGCTCACTGAGACACCTCCCACCTGTCATGGCCTGGCTTCTGGGGGTAGATGGTGGAGCCCACCTCACCCCCTCAAACCCTCAGGGCATTGGGCAGGCAGAGGGAGGAGTCCCACCTCAGGTTTTGCTGCCATCGGTCATTAGATAAATAGGTTTTTGGCTAATGTGACAAATATAAATTGTCTTTTAGACAACTCATTTGTGGCAAGTTGATCTACAGTAATAGTAACAATGATGATAATAAATAATGAAATAAAGAAAAATTGTCACTAACTCACCAATCTTCTATTTACTGGCTGCCTTGTTTGTATCTTGACTGCTCCTACGTATGTGTATGGGTGGCTCTTGTGTATACATCCCTCACATTTTTGTGCTGTTTATTTTGTTTTAAATGACTGATTCTTAACTAAACAGTTCTTCGAAGTCCTCTTTTAGGAGAAGAGTTTAGAAAGGTCCAAGATATCAGAGTAGAGAGCATAGGGTCTGAGGCATGTCCAAAAAGCAGAAGGTAGCCAGAAAGGACACACACACTAACTGGCCAGAGGCAAGTGTCAGCTAAGCCAGCTGGACAGCGGGAAGCTGGGGCTTGTAGTAACAGTCTTTTTAGCTATAACTTTAAAATTCTTCACCTTCCAAACTACATACAAAATATACTCATGGATAATTAGTCACCAAACCTTAACAATGGTTTCTGAGGGGAGGAGAGCGACGTGGGAGGAGACACGAGGGAAACTTTCACTTTTATTCAGTAAACCTCTAATTGTTTGCATTTTTACAATGGGCATACATTCATGTGTTGGGCTTGTCACTAAAAATAAAAAGTACTTTAAACACTATAGTTAGTACTGGGAAGAGGATTTGAGAGAAATTAGGATTTTACAGTTTTGTACTGCTTGATTTTTTTTTTTGTGTGTGTGTGGGGAAGATCAGCCCTGAGCTAACATCCGTCACCAATCCTCCTCTTTTTTGCCGAGGAAGACTGGCCCTGGGCTAACATCCGTGCCCATCTTCCTCGACTTTATATGGGATGCCGCCACAGCATGGCTTGACAAGCGGTGCGTCAGTGCGCGCCTGGGATCCGAACCTGTGTACCCTGGGCCGCCAAAGCAGAGCACATGCCCTTAACCACTGCGCCACTGGGCCGGCCCCTGCTTGATGTTTTTTACACCATGTTTGTATGATTTTCCCAATAAAAACATTGGCAGTTGATAGAGTGCGGTGGTTACACACAGCCTGTGAGGCAGAGATTCTCCAGCAACCAGATAACTCAACTCGCTCCACTTCAGTCTTCCCATGTACTCTCTCTCAAATAGCGATAATAGCACTTACCTTATATGGATCTTGTGAGATTTTTTTTCCTCCCATATGTGGTGTCTGACTTAGGAACTACCAATAAAAAAACCAGTTCCCTCTCTGTGTTCCATTTCCTTTGGGCCTGTTGCCCATTAGGCAACAGCTCTCAAATCTGAGAAGTCAATCAGCATGAACACTTTATAAGTGCTAATAAATTAATTATTAAGCTGATTTTAACTCCGGATTGGAATCTCCTGGTGGGCAGGCTCTGGCGTCTTCTTCCCCTTTATCCTTCCAACACTTAGATTTGCCACAAAGCCTGCATTCAACCAACATTTGCTGAAGTTAGTGAAATTTAACACAAAAGACTGAGAATTTCCAGCCCCCAAACAGACCAAACCAGGACGTACTTTTGAGTGGGCAACAATCTACAAACTCCTTAAATTAAACCATTTAACAATGGTTATCTCTGGGTGTAGGATTACCAGTGGTTTTAATTTTCCTCTTAATAGTTATTAGTATGTTCCAATTTTCTATCATATGCATATATTACTTTTATGAGCAGAAAAAAAATAAATGTCAATTAAAAAAAATAATACATCTTGTGATGCTGGTTCCTGCTTATCTACTTCCCCTCACTTTCTCATCTGCTTCTAATCCTTGCCCTGATTTCTAAGCCATCCAATGAACCCCTTCCTATGAAAGTGGCCAAAGTGATTTTCTAGCGGAAATTATGAGGTTTTTGGAATCAGATGGACCAGCATTTGAATCCGAGCTCAGCGTGAATGTGGGCAAGTATCTTACTTGTCTGACTCTGTATCCTTATCTGTAAATGAAAGTAAAACCTACCTTCTAGATTATTGTTAGTTTGGGTCAGCAGTTTTGCAAAGTTTAATGTGTATATGAAACACCTGGAATGTTGTTAAATGCAGACTCTGGGTTAGTAGGTCTAGGATGGGCCCAAAAGTCTGCTCCGAGGTGGTGCTGATGCTAGTGATGCATGGCCCACACTTTGAATTGCAAGAGATTAATGACATAACATTTGAAAGAGCCCTGGCACAAATGTCCTACCTGAGCTTGTTCCTCTCCTCTCTAGTGGGCCTGGCTTTCTGGCTGTTTGGATGAGTCCATCTCAGAAAACTGCTGACTGAGATCCACTCAGGTACAACTCAACTCATCTTAGATTTAACCTCTTCCTATTTTCTCCCCACTTCAATATGCTTCTTTTTCTTTCTGTTCAAGTACTTCATTCTTCCCTTGCCTAACAATACAGGTATCTGTGCTTTTAGGGTTTGTTTTTTCAAACAGCTTTATTGAGGTATAATTGATACACAATAAATTACACTTAAAGTGTACAATTTAATAAATTCTCATATATGTATACATCTGTGAAACCATCATCAAAGTCAAGATAATGAACATATCCATCACCCCCAAAGTTCTTCAGCTCCTGATGTTCCCCCGGCTCCCTTGAAACCACTCATCTGCTTTCTATTACATAGATTAGTTTGCCTTTTCTAGAGTTTTATATAAACAGAATCATATAGTATATATTCTTCTTCGTTTGGCTTCTTTCATTCAGCATAATTATTTCATCCATCTTGTGTGTATCAATAGTTCACTCCTTGTTTATTGCTGATAGTAATCCATTGTGTAGATATCCATCACGACTTATCCATTCCACATTCTGGAAAATATTTACTATTTTGAATAAATGTTCATTTAAAAAATTTTTTAGGAGAGTCATATAGGCAAAAAAAAATCCATCTGTTAATCCCACTACTGGGAGATAACACTATTAAATTGCCGTGTTTGTAGACTTCCAGAGGTTTGCGCTACTGGGCAAACACTGCTGTCATTTTTTAAAAAACAGTTTTATATTTCATTTTCACTCTCACTATTCAAAACATGTCATAAATGGAAATCCAAGAAGAATACCAGAGTTCCCCAAACACAGAAAACTGAAAAATATACTTTTCTCTGTCTTTATTATGTTTTTTTAGTGCTTTTAAAATTGGTTTTCTAAGTGAATAGGTCAGAATCTATCTTCATTGAATTTTATGTATAGTATTTCTCTGTGACGTAGCAAACAAGGAATTTACAGGTATAAAATAGCCCTGTCTCTTCCTATACTCCCAGGGCACTAGAAAACAATTCAATGCTAAATTTCAGGCCTTAAGAACCTTACACGAGTTAAACAAACAAAAAACAAATAAATGTTTTTGGACCCAAATAAACGAGAATGATTTGTCGAGGAGTGTCTTTACTCATAACTTTGTGTGTAACAATTATTCTTATATTTCAAGAAAGTTATAGATAGAGCTGGTAGAAAAACTAGGTAAATAATATCAATAATTACACTTGTTAAATATTATAATAACATTTATAATATAATATTTACAATAATAATAAACAGAAGTACATTTGTTAAACATTATAGAACACTCACTGTGTGCTAGGAACTGTGTGAAGCACTCTCTGTGTGTGCATTATTTCATTTCATTAGGTCTCTGGAGAGTATTATACTTTCTCTAGTTTAGACATGGCCTCCACAATAGGAATTATTAAAAGTTATAAAAATCTGTAAAAGAAATCCAGAAGATATTTGTTGTGCTCCTTGGGGAAGCACAACCTAACTCCCTTCCACTGAAAACGAAGGTGATTTCCAAGATCTCTGCCCCTCCCGGCCCCCGTGATTCATTTCCTCTCATTGTTACACGCAGAAAAGACCCATGGACTCAGCCATGTGATGGCAGCATCTTTTTTATTGTATCCCTGAAGTGTTGGTTTTCTTAATCAGTCTGTCTAACATTGTCACGCTCTCATAGTCAGTGGGTTTAATTTCTTTGGGCCCAGGTCAGATGTAAGCCAAACTCTCACTACAATTACCCAGCCCTTCGTTTTCCGAGTGTGTGAAGCATAAATGCCAATGAAATTAGGCAGGAGTTTGAATCCTGGTCTCTTAGCCTTTGTTTTCTCTATACATAAAAATTAATGGGGTAATTCCTACCTCCTCGAGTTTATTCACATATTGGCTCGTTTGTTCGTTGGTTCATTCATTCACTCATTCATTCATTCAGTTTACCGAATACCTACTACGCGCCAAGCACCATTCTAGGGTGAACTTGCAGGGAATGATGTACCTAAAGGAGTCTGTAAACTCTAAAGAAGGAAACAGTTACTGCTTTTACTATCAGTGGTCCTTTTCCTCACAAATGACAAAACAAAGAAAATTACCTAAATAACAGCGGGATGGTACAGAAAAGAAGTTCTTGGCACAGAGCTTTCCAAAAAGAAACTTTTTCCTGAAGGGACTCAGCAAGGAAGAAGATCCTTATTCACTCTGGACAGTTGTCTGAGCTGTCTTCAGGAGGCCTCGAGGTTCCTCGATATTTTTTTGCCCCGAGAATCCACAAACCCTACAGTGTATTCCTGGGCTGTAATTATTAACCAAAGCTCTTCTTCTGCCCTGTACCATTCATCCTCTATCCACGCACTTAATTTTTCTGAGCTTCAGTTTTCTCGAATGAAAATCGAAGGTTCTAGGCTGCTAACTGGCTGGGGCATTGTAAGCAAATCACTTAGCACCTCTGGGGCTGGTTCGCAAAGCGAGGGCGCTGGACCAAGATGCGGCCAGGCTGAAGTTCTAGGATCGGCGGCCTGCGCCCCAAGTTCGGGCGCGCACCCCGGATCGGAGGGCGACGATTTACAGACAGCGACCCCATCAGGTGCAACCCATGCCTTCCTACGCATCACGAGGCTTTATAAGAAAATGAAACTGAAAACGGGAAAATCTCTCTTTCTAACCTGGCCCCGCGTCGCGCGCTAGGAGACGAGTGACGGCCACCGAGGGCAGGGCTCTGATTGGCGGTGCGCGAGTGGAATATAAGTGGAGGCGCGGGGCCAGGAGCTCAGTCCTGCCTCCGGCGCTGCTCTGGTAGCCATGGCTCGCTTCGTGGCCTTGGTCCTGCTCGGACTGCTCTCCCTGTCTGGCCTGGAGGCCGTCGAGCGTGAGTGTCACCTCTTACCCCTCCCTCCTCCCTAGCCCTTCCTTTCCTGCCCCCTACCCTCTTTGGCAGTCTCGGCACTCTCTTAACACCCCTGTTCCCCAGGTTCTCCTTCCCGGTCGGGGACTAGCCCCGGACTAGGTCTCGGCATGGGGGAAGCGGTGGGGTGGCCGTGGAGGGGGGAAGGGTTTCAGCCCAGGACACAAGCTTTTTTTCTTCCTTCTCCGGGAGCGGGGTCGGGGGAGACGCCTGGCATGCTCGGGCCAGGTGGGTCGGGACTAAGTTTCGGGGTCTTGATGAGTTTCAGAGCGACCGAGGTGGGGGAGGGTTTCTCTTCCGCCTTTCGCGCGACCTCTCGCTCCCTGGGCACAGCTGGAGGAGAGGGCGGGTAGGTGGCTCCCAAAGGCGTGGACTTGGGGGCTGTGCATGGGTGCAGACAGTTGCCTGGGCTCTGAGGGGAGGCACTGCCTGGGTAAATCAGTCCGAGGCAACTCTGCTCGGCTCGTATCAGGAGGGCTTCGGGCTTCCTCCCTGCGCCTGCTAGGTTCGCTTGCCCCTCCGCACTTCCCCAGGAATATGGGACCAAACCATGGCAAGGAATCATTTATTGACTTGTTCCCATCACATGTCGCTTTTAATAATAATCGTAAGAGCTACCTGTTATTGACAGCTCACTGTGTGCCAGGGACGTTATGTGCTTTATGTTATTTAATTCTGAAATGCGCCTATGAAGTAAATACGATAGTTATCATCAGCATCTCACAGATGAAGAAACTGAGGCACCAAGAGTTTAAGTGACTTAATCACACAGGGGATAAATGGCAGACAGTCGAGCCTGACCAAAGCATTTTGCGAGGGCGTCCGCCTTTTGGCGGTAATCCCTTCTTGTTTCAGAACCGCCTCCCCACCGTCCTGTGTCAGATTCTGGGGAGCGAGCTGGGCGGCCATGGGCCCCTGTTGCCTTTTCTGCACAGAGGGCTTCCTCTTTGGCTCCTTGCCTGGTTCTTTCCAAGATGAACTGAGCCTCTACTTTCAGTTTTGAAAGAGCAAAAATTTATCAGTCAGGGAGGTTGTAAAACTAATGATAGGGGTAATCAGCATGGTTATACAGGTTGTCTTTGGAGGACAGCATAGATCTTGAGCACATTCTAAATACCCGGCAATATACCGGACCCTCTTCTTTTTTCCCCTCACAAAAGCCTCTGTGAAGCAGGGTTTTTTAATCATGAGAAAAAGGTACTTAATTTATAATTTATTTACAAAATAAAGCATAATGTCTATATCATCACTATTATTGATATTTGCTAGTGACTATAAAGTCTTTTGAAAAACAACAAGATGACATTAAAAAAAATCTTAATTTGAAAATTTCCAAAGTAATACATGCTTTGCATAGACCATTTCTAGAAGATACACAAGAAATGGGTAATGGCGATTGCCTCTGGAGGTCTATTTCCTGCTCTGTCCCACGTGATGTGTGGGTTTTGTTTGTTTCACTATGGGCATAAATTCATTTTTCAGTTAAGCTTCAGAAGCTCAGATAACTCTCCCAAGTCACAAAGCCAATAAGTGGCTGAGCCTAGATTTAAACCCAGGCTTGCCTGATACTCATCCTCCTTTTAGAAGAGATTATTGCATTCTTGCAAAACGCTGCCTGACTCCTTCAAAGAGAGAATTCCAGGCTGGATGAACCTGTGTTCTGATCCTTGTGGCACTTATGTTCTATTAGAAGCTCAAATGCAAAGAGCTTTTGATTAGTCTTCATTTTTAACTTTATGGGGAAAAAAATCAGGGCTTTATTGGGATCCCCAGTCCAGCTCTTGATGGGACTGGTGACCTTTCCTTTGATGATAAGGTGTTTCTAGACAGATACATCTGGTCAGAGTAGCCTGGTGCTCTTCCTCCTCACCACCTCCTGGACATGGAGGAGGAGCTGCCCTCTAGTAATCATGTTCCCTGAATGTATACGTATTTAAAAGTGAATTATATACATGTATTAGTGTCAATCTGTATATTTAGTAGCAGTAACTTTTCTCTTCATTTTGGATGAAAATATAGAAATAGAATGTATAATATTTTTTTTCCTCATCCCCATGGATGGTCTAGTCATGCATCCCATTTTGGAAACCACTGTTCCGTAGCATTATGCAATGTATTCCCAACCTGGCTAGTTATAGCAATCACTTGAGGGTGATAATTAAAAATGCAAATCCCGGGCCAGCCTCGGTAGCCTAGTGGTTAAGTTTGGCATGCTCTGCTTTGGCGGCTTGGGTTCCGTTCCCTGGTGCAGACCTACATCACTGGTCAGTGGCCATGCTGTGGCGGCAGTCCACATACAAAATAGAGAAAGATTGGCAACAGATGTTAGCTCAGGACAACTCTTCCTCAGGAAAAAAAAAAGCAAATCCCACTCTCACATGCATTACTCCACTTGGTCATAATGGAGAGTAAGTTCTCTCTCATTTGCCACAGTCCTTACCCTTATCTATTGTTCTTAAGCCCAACTCATTCATTTAAGGTACTTGCCAGCTTCTGTAGGCATTTAAGTTTTATTTCTTTGTCTTCTAGCTCATGAAATCAGGTATAAAATCAGATAGGGGTTTGGTGTGTACCTCTGGGCAGGATGAAGAGGTTGTGTTTTGTAGGAACATACTTTGGGTTGACTCTCTTAGGAGCCTGAGCAAGGAGGTAATAATAATAACGTCTGCCACTTACAGAGCAATTGCTGTGTGCTAGGCACTGTATTAGACACTTAATACATTTTGAGAAGTCAGATGGGTGTGGATCTAGGCAGGAGCAGGAACCAAAAAAGAAAGAAGTAAATGTAAGAAAAAACATCGACGGAGCTGAAACAGGGTACGATAACATGAGTTTTTTGATGTGGCTACTGTGGAGGGTGTATGAAGTGAGAAATGAAGTTTAAAAAGTAGTTTGGGGCCAAATGATGTAGACTCTTGAATGATATGGTAAGGAATTCTATGGGTGCTGAGAAGTCATCAAAAGTTCTTGAGAGCCTCCACAGAAAAGTTTTTAAAGATTTGGCACAATCTCCAGTGATAGAAGAAGCTACCACTAGAAATCTGCTTAAAAAAAGCCAAAAAGGCATGTGTAGGGGAATTATGTGGGAAAGATACTCAGTCATGGTTTATCCCTCAAAATGGAGGTAGCCTTTTGGAAAAGTGGAAGCTCGTTGGGCCAGAATGGAAATGGAATTGGGAAAAATGGATGATCAAATTTAACCACTTGGTGCTTCATCTAGCTTTACATCAAGGTAGCCCCAAGTGAAATACTCTGCAGTTTTCATTTGTCTTTCCCTGATGTTCTTCAGGTACTCCAAAGATTCAGGTTTACTCACGTCACCCAGCAGAAAATGGAAAGCCAAACTTCCTGAACTGCTATGTGTCTGGGTTCCATCCACCGGAGATTGAAATTGATTTGCTGAAGAATGGGGAGAAGATGAAGGTGGAGCGGTCAGACCTGTCGTTCAGCAAGGACTGGTCTTTCTATCTTCTGGTCCACACTGAATTTACTCCCAATGGCGTGGATGACTATAGCTGCCGTGTAGTCCACTCTACTCTCAAAGAGCCCAAGATAGTTAAGTGGGGTAAGTTTTCAAGTTCTTTCCTTAGCTGCTGAAAGTTGTATCTGAGTCTAGCCACAGCATAAAGCTACTTTGATATATATAAATCTGCATACTGGGATGGTCAGGGAATGTTATTAAAGCTCTGATTAGTGGCACCTTCTGTGAGACCTCTGCACAGCATGGTCTCTGAAACAGTAGCTTCTCTGCAGCGAGAGCAGGGAGCAGCAGCAGCACTTGCACAAATGCACACCCACTCCTGATGTTTCTTACCTACTGGCTTCCTTGGGCAGTCCTGACAGCCTCACGGATACTTAAGACCAATGAGAGTCTCAGGGAGGCACAGGCCTTTGTCTGTAAGCCCTGCTGTCCTCGCGCCCTGCAATCCTGGACTCCTACGGTAATCTCTCTCTGGGTTAGGAGCTGAGGCTAGCAGGCAGAGGTGGGTCCTACTGGGTAGTTCTAAACAAGATATTCATGGTTAGGGACAGCAGGCTCTTCTGCTAGCCTTATTTATAACAGTTTTAGACATTGTTAATAGATAGTATTTTAAAAGTAAAACTTACTGTTTTTCATTTTCTTTTTCCATTTTCTTTTTCATAGATCGAGACCTCTAACCAGCATCCTGGAGGTGGGTTTCTAAGCTTAAGAAAATGATTTTTGGTTCACTATCCTGGGGACTATTTACAGACAGCTCTAATATGATACCCTCACTATGTGGAGGACATTAATAAGTGTAGCGTTTGAGCGGGCAAAGATCCTGTGGGGTCACATTCCCTTCTTCTGTGGAGTGACATGAGGAAGGTGTGTGGCCTCAGGTGTGGCTCTGCCAGCATCACTGACCCTCTGAAGGGAGGACAGAGGAGCTGCTGGTGTGGTGTGATGGGATAGAGGCAGCTGGTTACCCATACCACCTGCAAGAATTTGATCTTTCTTCTGCCATTACTACATGGGGCATCTCTGAGCCTTCAAAAATGAACCACTCTCTTCGTTTGCATAGCAGTTGCTTTATTATCCAGCCAGAAGAGAGGAGTGGCGTGGTTCCCCAGACATCCCATTCTTTCAATCTCTTGTTCAGCCTTAGTGTGTTTGCCTTCTAGAGGCTCCTCGTCCAATAGAGGAGAGAAATGGAAACAGATTGTTATGGATCAATGTAAAGATATTGTAATAGATGTATCTACAAGGAGCTCTAGCAACATGAAAAAGGGGGGAATTGGATTTCTCTGCATCTTTGCTTGGAGACAAGACATAGAAAATCCAGCTTTTCAATGAAATTCTACTCTACAGGGTACCTTGATACTGAAACCCTATTCACATCTCCTGGTATATTCTAGGACAGGGAAATTAATTTGAGAGAGCATCAGAGAGGTTAGGTGTCCTGCCTGGAGTCACCCAGTTACTAAATAGTAGAGCCCGGGTCTGAACTCCAAAAACAGAATTTTTTCCCCTACAGTTGTGGGGGAACCAATGGGATATGCTCTTTGTAACGTGTCTGGGAAATTGTCTGCAGCTACTTTTTTTTGTGTGTGTGAGGAAGATCTGCCCTGAGCTAACATCTGCCAATCCTCCTCTTTTTTTTTGCTGAGGAAGACTGGCCCTGGGCTAACATCCATGCCCATCTTCTTCCACTATTATATGGGATGCCTGCCTCAGCATGGCCTGACAAGCAGTGTGTTGGTGCACGCCTGGGATCCAAACCGGCGAACCCTGGGCGGCCGTAGCGGAGCGCGCACACTTAACCGCTTGCGCCACCGGGCCGGCCCCTGCAGCCACTTCTTTTATAAGCAGTGATTTACACAGCAGAAGTTAATCAAGTTTGGTGGTGTGATGTGTAATCCAAATAAAATAAACATATTTGCTAATAAGCCTTTTTTCTATTTTTCAGGTTTGAAGATGCCTCATTTGGATTGGATTAATTCCAGATTATGCTTTCTTTCTTTTTAATACTTTTATGCTTTATGCACATAAATCAGGAAGTTATGTTGGTGTTAAGGCAAATTTTACTTTGTTTATAGTTGTACTTTGAGCGCTATGCCTCCTTGTTTGACCTGTGGCAGGTAGCTATAGGGAGACCCTGGCAGCTTAGAGGTGGGCAGGAAAGAATACCTATGTTAAAAATCAACATCTTGGCCAAATCTGAACTCCTCAGTCTCTTGTGTACACAAAACTGGATAATAAGATAGTTATGCATGTTTAGAGTTAATCTTCAATTTGCATACTTTGCTTAGAATTTGGGGAAAAATTTTTGAAGGATCATTGTCAGAATTATTGGAAATTTGTTATAATGGATGATACATTTTGTCATATAAAATTCATATTTACCTCTTACATCTGTTAAAAAAAAACATGGTGGAGCACATTTTGATTTTTCTGTTTCACTAATTAAAACAATGGTAAAACCTGATGCGTTCAGTTTCTTATATATCACTCCCCCTCTTACCCCTTTGTTTTCAAACAGGAAAACGGTCTTCAAGTGTCACTTGGAGAAGAGTGTAAACCCCTGGGGTATAGGGTTTGACTCACAGTGGAAGGGGCCCCAGTAATCTGCATTTGACAGGTGAGGAACAGGATACTAGAGAAGTTAAATGACTGAGTCAGGGTGGTATAGCTCCCTGCTGGGAGACCAGGCTTCTGTCTTTTAGCCAAAGTTCTGTTCCCTGAGTCAAGATATGAGAAGTGTGCAGACTCTAAGAAGGAGCAAAAGTATCTGGAAGATTTCTTATTTTAGCAGTAATAGATATACTCTGAATGAAAAATACTAGCTTTTTAAATTTCAAGGCATAGTTTACACATGATGACCAGCTTTGTGCGTTTGTTTATTTGACCAAGAATTTGAGTTAGCTAGTGCTAGGTACTGACAAGATAAATAAAACACAACACTGCTCTCAAATTGCTCAGTTTAGTAGAGGGGCAGACATGCACTAGAACAATTAAAATACATCCTGATAAAGAGTATAGCATAGGTATGCCCAAAGAACTAGGTGACAGGAAAATGTGTTCAAGGGATGACAAAAAACTTTAGGTAGGTATTAGGGAAGACATTTGCTTGAGCTGAGACTTGGTGGGTAGTGATTCGCCTGATTGGTGAGGAGGCCTGAGATTTCCAGGCAGGGGGGCAAATTATGAGAAATATAGAGGTATGACAAGCATGGGTAATTCCAAACAGCAAAGCAAGAGTACCTAGGGGAAGACTTGTAGGAACTCAGCTGGAGAAGATTGAGGGGTGACTGACTTAGACCAGTAATTGTCCACCCTGGATGCACTTAGAATCACCCGTGGAACTTATTAAAAAATACCAGTTCTAAAAAATAAAGTCTATTAAAAAAACCCAGCTTTTCAGGCTCCAATCCAGACCAACTAAATCACAATCTCTAAGTCTGGAGCCCAGATATCAATGTTATTATTATTATTATTACTTTTATTAAGACCTTATGTTTTTAAAAAGAGCAGTTTTAGATTCACAGCAAAATTGAAGGGAAGGTACAGAGATTTCCCATATGCTCCCTGCCTGCCCCATGCATTTCCTTCCCCATTATCAACAACCCCCTCTAGACTGGTATATATTTGTTACAACTAACGAACCTACATTGACACATCATAATCACCAAAGTCCATAGTTTATGTCACGGTTCACTCTTGGTGTTGTATGTTCTATGAGTTTTAATAAATATATGACATGTATCCATCATTTTGGTATCAGAGTATTCACTGCCCTAAAAATCCTTTGTATTCTGCCTAGTCATTCTTCCCTCTGCCCTGCCCCAACCCCTGGCAACCATTGATCTTTTTACTGTCTCCATAGTTTTGCCTTATCCAGAATGTCATACAGTTGGAGTCATACAGTACATAGCCTTTTCAGATTGGCTTCTTTCACCTAGTAATATGCAGTTAATGTTCTTCCATGTCTTTTCATGACTTGATAGCTCATTTCTTTTTAGCGTTGAATAATATCCCATTGTCTAGATGCACCAGACATTCATTAATGAATAATGAATATTATTCATTCACCTGCTGAAGGACATCTTGGTTGGTTCCAAATTTTGCAATTATGAATAAAGCTGCTGTAGACATCGTGTGCAGGTTTTTGTGTGGACCTGTTTTCACAGTATTGTTTTTGAAAATCTCTAGCTAGTCCTAATGTGCAGCCAAGGTTGAGACCACCCATTGGGTTAAATCATAAAAGACTTTCTATTCCATGTCATTCAACAGAACTATTTTGTGAAATGCTGCTTTGCTGGCTCGTAGGCCAATGTAATGCTCCTTTGGAGCATGCCTTAGTGCCCCATCTCAGAAGAAGAGATTGATCAAAGAGGAGGAATATCAGACTTAACTAAGCTTATTAAATATAACTGTGCAATGCAAATTAAATAGAAAAGTCTCAATGTCAGTAATAAAGAATTACATCTTATATACTGACATGGAAGAATACCCATGCTATATTGCTGAAACAAAAAAGTAATTTCCAGAAAATATATATTGTAAGCCATTAAAAAACCCAAACTATATATAAGCACACACGCTATATATTTGTATCAAACACAAAAGCAGGTCTGGAAGGTGACACCCTGAATTGTTGTCAGTGGTTACTGAAGGCATGGGAAAGGGGTAAACAAAGAAGAGGAAGTTGACTAGTCTGCTGGAAAATCAATTTGTTAAAAGTCATTTTCCTGAGTATCAGTTGTCGTTTTTCTGAAACCTTCTATGTGTGTGTGAGGGGAGGGGTTTTGGGGTGGGATGGGAGTGGAGGAAAAGAAGGGGAAACAGGGCAGTCTCAGACCCTAAGCAGTGGTGCTTCCTTCCCGCTGCTCACCGGGGCCAACAGTGAGGCCTGTGTCCTGCCCTCTTAAACACTGGGGAATGTGGCAGCTGAGCCAATCACCACCTACCATGGCCTGGCCAAATGGAAGAAGGGTGCAACCCACAGGACTCCCCTACTCTCCCAGGTAGAGGGGTGGTCTCACCCCAGACTATGTTGGTGAAAGGGCCTAAGGAAGCTGTCTCTCAGCTTGAGGCAAATTGACCATTTGAAGAATTATTTGGCTAATGGATATATAAGAATTATTTAAGATTGTTCTAAAATTCTCCTCATTGTCAAATAATGAAAATAAAGAAACAATATCATAAACCACTGCAATCTCCTATGACAGAGGTTACCCTCTTGTGGACCCCACTGGATTCTCTCAGTGTGTACCCATTAGTCTCCATTTTATGTTATGGCTATTTTTAAAATTTAATCTTTATTAAATAGTTCTCTTTGCATTTCCTTATAATTCCTCTTTTAGAAGAATTTAGAAATGTCCAAGAAACTAGAGAAAGACAGCATATAATTTGATGCAGGTTCTAGAACTGCAAGGACAGCCTGAGAGGACCCCATGTCTTAACTGACCAAAGGAAGTGATAGTGAGAAAAAGCTGTAAGGTAGGAGCCATGGCTTAAGACAATTTACCAAGGTAAAGGGGAAAAAACACGTCTGGAAGAGAAAGTCCAAAGTAATACTGAAATGCCAGTTAGAATTCAGCAGTTTTAACCTAGAACTGCTCTGTTGAACCAAGGACCTATAAGGAAACATCGAGCTGAGACTGTGACTGTATATTAGCGGTTTGTGTGCAATATTCCTCAAGAATGGTGCTCAGATCTTGGCAGCCGTGGCACTTATCCTGCTCATCCCCCTTGTCAGAGTTTGCCTCTCAGGCACTCCTCACTGAGGTGCTACCATTTTTATACATTTTTAAACAAACTATATTAGCCTTTTTATCTTTTTTTTCCTCAATCCCTCTAAGCAGATACACCCACAGGAAAAGTTCCAGAAATATACACAACAACTTCTTAACAATGTTTAGCTAGGGGCAGGTGCTAGGATGGCAGGAGAAAGATGAAGGCAGACTTTTTAAATATTATTCTACATACTTCTATATGATGTGAATTTTTACAACTTTTATTATTTGAGTATAGTTCATTATTTTTAAAAATAGAAAGTTTATATAGGCAGAAAGGAAAAAAAAACCTTGTTAATCCCACCACCCAGATATGACCATTTATCAGTGTTCATTTTTGTATGGTTAGCTTTTCAGGAGATTTTTATTTTTTGTTCTATCTTTTAAAAAATTTTCATTGTTATTATTATTATTATATTTATTTAAAAATGTTTTTAAATAATAATTTTTATATCTCACTTTTTTTTTCACTATCCCTAATGAAAACATGGCATAAATGGAAACAATACAGAGAACTGGCAAATGTTTTCTCTAGTTTTTGTCAACAACCACACTTCAAATACCTTTGGGCTGTTGCTTTTTACTTGTATTTCTTGTATTGTAAACTCTTGAGGCAAAATTCAAGGTCTTTCTTTAATAAAATAAACATCTTGTCTGTGATGGAGCTATTAAGGTTTTAGGGGCAAAAATTACATATCTCTCCTCGGACTCTAGGCTTTTCGAAAAAAACTGAAGACTAACATCTGGGTCCTAGATATCTTAAAAGAAATAAATTATCTGTGAGTACTTTGATTAGAAACTTTATGCATTAAAAACTATTCTGATAATTTGGAGAGCTATAAGAAGGGCTGATCGAAAAAAACCCCACTAGTAAATATAATTAAAAATAATAGTTTGATCATGTATTAAACACTTACTACGCGCTAAGTCTCTGAATCTAAGGAGATATCTATATTTCTGTAGCACACAGGCTCAACTGAAAACCGCACTGATGTGTAGCTTCCCCTCCCCAACAGGCCACTTCCTCTTTTTACTGTTTTCACGTAGAAAAAACAGAGAGGCCTCTTGCTGCCACACGATGCTGTAGTGTGGTCTGAAGTGGTTTTCTAGGTATCCTTAGCTGTTTGCAAGTGTGCATGCCATTTTCATCATCTGAAGAGTCAGTGACGGTCTTAGGTTGAGTTCTTGCAGAAGCAGCCGCTGAACCAAGGATTTGCAAGTGACATTAAGAAAGGGCTTCCAGGAGAAACCAATGAGGGAGTCAGGGATGAAGGATAGGGAATGGGAAGAAGCCAAGTGGTTGTGTGATTTGCTGTCTGGCACTCTGCCTATTCCCACAGGAGCTCTAGAAAAAAGGAACATGCCTCAGAGTTTGTCCTGCCTTGAAGCAAAGGAGCTGGGCTTTGGTGCTCCACATCAGCTTGTCTTTGGCTACAGGCTGCCCAGGAGTGTGAAGTGGGGTGAAACATAAAACTCCCAGGTCCTTCCAGCTCACTCCAGTGCCTGAGGGTAATCTCCAGGGCTAGGAGTACTATGCAAGTGCTAACTGTTAGTAGCAAAATATGAAAAAGCTGGGGATGGGCTCATCAAGTCTGGGTGGGGCATCAGTCTGCTACTGTGAATTTCCTGTTAACTTCCTCTGCTGGGCCCATAACACATGCTGTCTCAAACTTCCATTAAAATTTCAAAGTTTCGGGGCGGCCTGGTGGCGTAGCGGGTGGGTTCGCGCATTCTGCTTCGGCAGCTGGCAGCCCGGGGTTCGCTGGTTCAGATCCTGGGCACGGACTTACTTACGGCTCATCAAGCCATGCTGAGGTGGCATCCCACATAGAACAGCTACAACTCTACAACTATGATATACAACTATGTACTAGGGCTTTGGGGAGAAAAAAAGAAAAAGAAGATTGGCAACAGACGTTAGCAGAATTCAGACCCAAGTTTGAATCCTAATTCCACAAAAGGAATGGGAAAAGTCATATTACTGTCTAAGTTTGAATCCTAACTCCATGAAAAGACTGGAAAAGTCATATTACTGGCTTGACTTTTTGTCACTACATCCATAAAATGGGATAATTATTCCTACCTCATAAAGTTTTTCATTTATTCGCTCAATAAATATGGAGTGTCTACTCTGTGCCACATACTGTTCGGGGGTCATTCTGAGAAGGGGATGGTGGTAAGAAGAGCTCTGTTAAATGTAAAGCTCTAGGCAACTGCTTTTACTCCCAGTGGTTATTTATTTTCACAGCTCACAAGAATAAATAAAATTGCCTAAAACCAAAGCAAGGAGATACAAGGGAAAACTTCTTGGCACTGAGCTGGTGAAAAAAAGAAACAATGTAAGAATTCCTTTCCCTAAAGGGCTGCAGGTAAAAGACGTTCCCCTCACTCTGGACAGTTCCTCCCAAGGTAAATCTGCAGGCAGAGCTCGCTTCTGACAGTCTCAGGATTTGCTCAGAGAATTCACAAAAGTCTAATTGCATTTTCAGGAGCTTCTAGCCCTGCTTCTGTCACAGTTCATCATCTTTCAAATCTCTTAACCTTTCCCAGCCTCAGTTTCCTTACCTGTAAAATGAAGGGTTCTCAGCCACTAACTGGTGATGGCACAGTAAGCAGGTCACTTGTGTACTGAAGCCTTAGCTGCTAGATTTCTAGGACAGGGAGTCAGAACTCAAGTTCAGGCCTGGTAGACTGAGGTGGGCATGGTTCCTAGGACTCCAGTGTATATTAGAGGTTTCAACTCCAAACAGATCCAACATCTCCTCCACCCCTTTTTTCCCCAACACCTCCTTTTTATAACAACCTTTGCTTCTGGTGCCTCTTTTACTAATTTGATTATGAAAGCTAAGCAATTTAGTATGTGAATGCTCTAGCCTGGCTGTACTGGCTGAGGTAAAGAAGTGCCACATGCTTGCAACTGACCTACGATCTTTGTGAACTATGACATTGAAGACTGAGAGTTGCACTATACTGATGGCTCAGATTCAGATATGGTATTGCTGGCTGTGGTGTGATTCTCTGAAATGGTGAAAATCTCTAGGTAAAATTCCAAAAACAAACCAAAAATACATTTTCTTTTGAGTTGCCTGCTAGTTGCATTCCTGGAAAATTCAGTGTATATGGGCCTGTTATAGTAAATGGTCAATAAGTATTCAAGGAATAAATTAACTGAAAAATAGGACATGTTTTTACACGTGATTGTAAAGCCCAGATTATAAGCAGGTTTTTCACAGATTGGGGGGGTGCGGGTGGTGGGGGAGAGTCTGTGTGTGTCTGCATGTAGGCTGGGGCCCCTGGCCCTCAGCCCCTAAATACCTGTAGTCACTCCATTGTTGGAACAACCAAAAATAACCCTATTAATTTTCAAAATTTCAAGAGAGGCGAACTGTCTCCGTTGAGAACCACTTTTATTTAGAGAGTGAGGAGTTGCTGATCTAATGACCAGGAGGAAAAAAAAAAACAAAATACAACCACCTCGCCCTTCCCCTTTCTCGGAAAACATGAGACTGGAGAAAAGGAAACTAAGGACGGGAAAGTCCCCTTTTCTAACCTGGAACAGCGCTTTCTGCCCAGAGACTGGTGACGAGCCACCATGGGCTCGGGTTTTGATTGGGCAGTTGAGAAACTAAAATAGCAGATTAAAAGGAGGGGAAAACCCCCGTGCTTTCTACCGTGGGGTCGGTGGGAAAACGCGCCGTGACTCCCGCTTCGTGACCTTGGCTCTGTTCTTCGCTGCGCGCCGCCGCCAACCTGGGCGCGTTCACGGTGAGTACCTCCTCCCGCGACGCCCCCTCCTTCTGCCTCTCCCTCTCTATCCACAGGCTCTCCCTGACCCTGCAGCTCCTCGTTCCTCCTTCCTGGCCCAGTGTAGCCAGGCACCGGGTTCGGCTTGCTAAGGCTCCATGCGGACCGGACCGGACCGCGAAGCAGAGGAGAGGCCGGAAAGTGGCGCGCCGCTGGAACGCACGCTTCCTGCTCTATTCTCGCTGGACAGCTACCTTGGCAAGGACTAGCCTGGACAGGACAAAATATCTAGGCCATTGATGAGCTGCAGGGTGCATGGGTGGGGTCGCAGGTGGTGGGCACTGCTTTCTGGGGCTGCCCGGTCTCGTCCCCAGGGTTCTCTTTCCCTGGGCGCAGAGCGAAGAAGGAGGGGCAGGCTGGTCACGAAAGGCAAATACTTGAGGGTGGTGATCCAGTGAGAGGCAGGTGTGTCTGTGGGGTCCAAGAGAAGTATTGCTTCATAAGTAAATCGGCATGTCCAGTGGAGCGCTGAGCGCCGCGCCCTCCTATGCTTCCGCTCATTTTCTTCTAGGGCTCCACACTTCCCTACCAGGTACTAGGGCTTGTGTCTAGATGGTCTTACACTGTTTTGTGTAACATTTCTGTGGCAGCTTGTGTGTTTATTTGTTTTGGTGAAAGCTTTATTGAGATATAAACCATACAATTCACCTATTTAAAGTGTACAATTCAGTGGGGTTTAGTGTATTCACAGAATTGTGCAACCATCACCTCAATTTTAGAACATTTTCATCACTCTTCAAAGAAACCCTGTACCCATTAGCAGTCACTCCTCATTTCTCCCCAACCCCCAACCCTAAGGAACCACTAATTTTTCTGTCTCTATTGATTTGCCTGTTCTTGACATTTCATATAAATGGAATCATACAATATGTGGTGTTTTGTGATTGGCTGCTGTCACTTAATATGATGTTTTCAAAGATCATCCATATTGTAGCAAGTGTCAGCACTTTATTCCTTTTTACTGCTGAATAATACTCCATTGGGCCAGCCTGGTGGCATAGTGGTGAAGTTCACACGCCCTGCTTCGGCGGCCCAGGGTTCGCAGGTTCAGATCTGGGGCGTGCTTGGACACACTGCTTGTCAAGCCATGCTGCGGTGGCATCCCATGTAAAGTAGAGGAGGATGGGCATGGATGTTAGCCCAGGGCCAATCTTCCTCAGCAAAAGGAGGAGGATTGGCACCGGATGTTAGCTCAGGGCTAACTTTCCTCTCTCTCTCTCTCTCTCACACACACACACACACAAATAATAATAATAATAATAATAATAATAATAATAATAATACTCCATTGTATGGATTAAACCACATTTTGTTTATCCATTCATCAATTAATGGGCATTTGGGCTGTTTCCACTTTTTGGTTATTATGAATAATACTCTTATCAACATTCATGTACAAATTTTCAGTTGTGGACATAAGTTTTCAGTTCTCTTGGGTATATACCTAGGAGTGGCCTTCCTGGGTTATATGGTAACTATATATTTAACCTTTTGAAAAACTGCCAGACTGGTTTCCTAAGCTGCCACACCATTTTACTTGCCCACCAGCAGTGCATGAGAATCCCAAAATTCTACATCCTTGCCAACACTTGTTATTATCTATCTTCCTATTATAGCCATCCTACTGGGTGTGAAATGATATCTCATTATGGCTTTGATTTGCATTTCTTTAATGATGACCAATGATTTTAAAATTATTTAAAATATATCTGAATTACAAAATAATTTTTAAAAAGGATTTACATGCTGAGGTTTTGAGAACTTTAACTGTCTAGGTAACATGCCCCCAAGTCAGAGTCTAGACTCAAACCAAGTCTGTCTGTGGCGAGTGCTTGAACTCTATCCCCTCTTTCCTAGAACAGAATCTGGGATAAAACTCTTCAAAACTCCACTTGCTGCCTCTGTTAGAAAGGGAATCTTGGGCAAGATGAACCTCCGTGTAGACTAAATGATTCATTTCTTATTTGTTATTAGAAACGCAAATGTGCAAATAGCTTTTTGGTCTCTCCATTTTCACTTTGTAAAAAATAAGTGTTTCCTTGAGATCCTCATAATGGATCTTGGATGAAGTAGTGACCTTTTCTTGGTGTTTAATGATTTTGTGCTTCTCTTCATGTAACTGCCCCTTGGGTTTCTCCTTCACCCCACTACCATCAGGACATGAAATGAGGAGGGGCACAAAGTATAAATTTTGTTTAAATGCATAACTATCAGAAATTTTGAGTACACAATTTTATATATAAATATATATTTTTATATATTATTTTTCTATATATCTATACATTTTATATTACTATCAATCTTATTTTTAAATATTACTAAGGCTTAATTTTTCTCTCATTTTTTTCAGTTAAAAATTCAGATTGAGCTGTCTCATAAGTGGCTCCAAGAAGACTCAACCCCCAACCCTGCAGGAACATAGCAGTTGTGGAGGTGGAGACAGGACTGAAATCAGAATCAGAGTTCAAATATACTGGAAAATCTGGGCTCTAAATTCTCATGTAAGTCAGAGAGTGACTGACCAACAGCTGAGAGACATTGAGGGCTTTAACATTCACTGTAAACTTTGGTACAGGTCATTTATTTCTTTGAAGACTGGATCCAAAAAGCACAATGAATACAAGAATGGGCTATGGTAGTATGGTGAATTCCAGACAAGCCCGAGAATTCCATACAGCTGGAGAAGGAGGCCCATCTCCTGAGATTGTCTTGGAAGCAGAATTGATAGAACTTGAGGAAAGTGATGAAGTAGTTGACCTCACCTATGAATCTCTAGAACCTGCAGTGATTGACCTAACTCAACATGACTGTGTTGTGATTACTGAAGAAAGGAGGAGGCCAAGGAGAAACACAAGGTCACTCCAAGGCCAAACTGGCAGCAGTGTGGTGAGCAGTCATCAGGGGTTGATGAGGGACAGAGATGTATATGTGACCCACAGTGCCTACCATAATGCCCTGGAAGAAGAAACTTTAAGTTGCACACTACCTGGTTATATCCAGTGTCGAATTTGTATGGATGGGTACTCAGAGATTGAATTGAGTAGACGACACATCTATTCTACAGAATGTGGCCACATCTTCTGTAGTCAGTGCCTCTGCACTTCGCTTAAATACACTAAAAATTGCCCAGTTTGTTTGAAAACAATCAGCTGGCATCGCATTTATGTATGATGTGTGCTGAGTTGCTCAGGACCGACAGACCCCCTGGCTGGGTTTTTCCACATCCTTGTGGAGAAACTATGGGTTGTTGGCATCCAGTGTGCCAAGCTCAGAAAGCCTAATTTTAAAAATCGCTTTCTGGAATATATTAAAAACTCTTTCATTTCTCACACACGATGAGATTGCTGTTCCAGTCCTTTTGTTTCATGCTGCAGGGCTGGACTTTGGTTGTCATAGTGCGCCAGAGACTGGTGGTTGTCCTCGAAGCAATTTTTCCTTTCTTTCTCATAGTAATCAATTTTTAATTGGCCACATGTGGGCATTTTGGATCATGTAAATAAATAAGGGCAACATCCTAGACATGGTGGAGCAAGCAGATGGAAGGAACTTGAGAGACTGACTTTGCAAACCAGAGCCACCATACAAGGTTCTTTGGACTTTTACTTGAGAGAGAAATAAATTGCATTCTTGTTTAAGCAACCATTATACTGGGTCTTGTTTAGAGCAATGGAACCTTTATTTTAATTAATGGACCAGGCAGGGTGCTTTCTCTGGATTTCCTAATTCCATTGGAGTAGAAGGAAGTCAGTCCTTTCTGACCACCTCTACCAACCAGCAGGGTGGAGGGGGGTATACGGGCAGGCACCATGTCCTGCTGGGACTCCTAGTGGCCTTCAAGGCCACCCTGAGGAGTTGCCTAGGCACACTGGAATCTAGAGTTGTGGTTCTGTGCTCTCTGACTTGCCAGGCCAGAGAGGGGCTGCCTTCACCTTGGCTTTACCGGTGTGCCTGCCTTCCACCACACTGGTCAGCTAATCAACAAGTTGGCATGCTTCTCTGTGAACAAACACTTTACTGCATCGCCATCCCAGCTGCTCTAGCAGCCTGGCTGGGTCACAGGCCTTGAGAAGACCTCATCACTACCCTCCCATACACACACACTAGCTCTTTTTTTTTTTTTGTAGAGAATCACACAGCACTCACAATTCAGCCTGCACTTTAGAATTGGAGAGGACATGATTTCTATGGTGCTCGCTCCTTTTCCCTCAGAATGAAATGAGTAAAGCTTGTTCCTTATTTACAATGGTTGTAGCAGTGTTGCTCTCCTCCGTGGAGGCTCAGTCGTGCCAATGGAACAGTGCCCATCCCTGCGTCATGTCTGTCTCTACCATTCTCTGCAATACCTCATACCACAGACCTCAGTTGCTTAACTTGGCATGGGATACGCAAGATAAATGTGGTATACTCCCTTCTGTGGGTTCCTTTGTGTGTTCTAAAATGAAATGAGAAAAAGGAACATGAAAATGGAAAAAAAAGTTCTATATATTATCTTCCTACATTTCAATAGATCGTCTAGTGCATCCCACTTTGGAGACTATTAATTGTTCTGTGACATAGCACAGTGTATCACAAACTTGGCTAATGATCAGAACACCTGAGGTGCCTATTAAACACAGATTCCGCTACTGCATGTACCGTCCGTGTGTTCAGGATAAAGGGCATACTCTCTCCAATTTGCTAGCAGCCCTTCACCCTCCCTATCATATTCTACCCAGTCCACTACATATTTACCTTACCTGCCAAGCTCATATAGACATTTGAGGGTTTTTTTGACAATTAAGGTTTTTTGTTTTTGTGTGAGGAAGGTTAGCTGTGAGCTAACATCTGTCACCAATCCTCCTCTTTTGGCTGAGGAAGACTGGCCCTGGGCTAACATCTGTGCCTATCTTCCTGCACTTTATATGGGACTCTGTCACAGCATGGCTTGACAAGCAGTGTGTTAGTGCGCGCCTGGGATCTGAACCTGAGAACCCCGGGCTGCTGAAGTGGAGCGCACGCACTTAACTGCTACACCACCGGGCCGGCCCCAATTGAGGTTTTGATCTCTGTTTTAGTGGAAAAAAATAGAGAGGATTCTGACTTTTAAAAAAAATTGAGATAAATTTTACAGACAGCAAAATGTACTGATAAGTGTAAAATGAGATGAGTTTGGGCAAATATATACATTCATATGACCAACACCTCAATTAAAACATCAAACAATTTCATCATTTCAGAAAGTTTCCTTATGTCCCCTTCTAGTCAATCTCCGTCCCCCACAGGCAACCACTGTTCGGATTACTATCACCATAGATATGTTTGGGGACACTGACTTTTATTACTTCATTGTCTAGCCCAGCTCATCAGGGAGGAAAATTTGATAGGGGTTTGGAGTATAAGCACTAGGCAAGGGTAAAAGGTTTGTTTTAGAGGGAGCATGACTTAACATTATCTGTCTTAAGAACTGAAGCAAGAAGTTATTAATAATGACACCTGCTATTTAATAAGCAATAGCTGTGTTCCAGGCACAATACTAGGCACTTCACACATCACAGGTAGTCAAGGTATACACCTAGGCAAGAGCAGGAACCCAACAGGACGTAAGAGCAAAAGTTGAAGGGAGCTGCCACAGGGCATGTGAACGTGGATAATTTGGCTGACTGCAGTACGTGGCTGTGGGAAGAAGTGAGAACTAAAGCTAGAAAAGAAGATTCAGGCCACACCATGGGTAGAGCATTGTGTACTGTGTTATGGAGTGTAGATTTTATTCTACAGGTGCTAAGGAGCCATTAAAGGCTCTGGAGGAGTGCCTTCAAAGAAAGATTCTTAAGGGTTCAGCATGATCTCAGGGAAGCCTGAAGATACTGTTTGAAATCTGAGGGAAAAATATGGAGGTGGAATTAGGAAGGAAAGATCCTGGTGCTGATTTTCCTCTTAAAACAGAAGTGAATTTTATGAAGTGTATAAGAAAAAGGATGAAGCAACCTTGTTGTGAGGAATTTGGTATTGCACTGGTACTCTCCTTCCCTCAGATGTCTAACAGTTTCATTTCAGCACAGCCAGCAGAGCTGTGCAAGCCTTTTAAGTTGTAGCAAGTCTTGGGAGATTGTTGTTGTTCTGAGGTGGCAATGATAGGAGTCAAGGGGGGCAGCTGTGGCAATTTGGATTTAGCTTTCAGGTACCTTTTTGGAAAAGTGGAAGCTCATTTGGCAAGATTGAAAATGGAATTAGGAGAGGTGGACAATCAAACTTATCCACTTGATGCCTGATCTAGCTTCAGACCAAGTCAGTGCCATGGTGAGATAATCTGGCAATTTTCATTTGTCGTTTCCTGATGTTCACTGAGGTTACAGCAGAGAATGAAAGTCAAATTTCTTGAGCTGTAATATGTCTGGACTTCATCAACCACAGATTGAAATTGAGCTGTTCAAGACAGGGGTTAAGAGAGACAGAGTGAAGGAGTCAGACCCATCTTTGAGCAAGGCTGGGTCTTTCTATTTTCTGGTCCACACTGAATTCATCCCTACTGCAAATGTCAAGTACACCTGCCAAGAGAAACAAGTTACTCTCCAAGAACCTAAAATTGTTACAGGGATAAACTTTTAGGTCTTTTCCTTAGCTACATCAATTAGGTCCCACAGATTTGATATTAAACTCTGCATACTGGGATGACTATCCCAAGGAGTGTTAATAAAGTAAATTAGGTTTCAGTGACATCATTAGCTCAGTATCTGTCTCTGAAACAGTAGCTTCCCTGCAGTGAGAGCAGGGAGCAGCAGCAGCACTTGCACAAATGCACACGCCTCCTGATGTTTCTTACCTGCTGGTTTCCTTGGGCTGTCCTGACAGCCTCATGGATACTTAGGACCAATGAGAGTCTCAGGGAGGCACAGGCCTTTGTAAGCCCTGCTGTCCTCGCGCGCTGCGATCCTGGATCCTCCGGTAATCTCTGTCTGGGTTGGGAGCTGAGGCTAGCAGGCAGAGGTGGGTCCTACTGGGTAGTTCTAAACAAGGTATTCATGGTTAGGGACAGCAGGCTCTTCTGCTAGCCTTATTTATAACAGTTTTAGACATTGTTAATACATAGTATTTTGAAAGTAAAACAACTTGTTTTCTTCTTCTTCCATCTCCAGTTTCGTAGTTCAGTTTCATGGTATTATGCAGGTGGGTTTCTGACTTGGAGAAAATCTTCTTTGTTTCACTATCCAGGGACTATTCACAGACAGCTCTAACATAATAACCCTCACTGTATGGGGGACATTAATCAGGGTAGCATGTCATGTGGGCCCCTCCCTGCCCCCTTAGCTTTCAGTGGGCAAAAAGATCCTATAGGGCATAGTCCCTTCCCCTGTGGCATGGCATGAAGAAGGCACGTGGCCCTAGGTGTGGCTCTGCCCACATCACTGATCCTCTAAAGGGATAGCAGAGGGGCTGCCAGTGTGATGTGACAGGATAGAGGCAGCTGGTTACCCATACCGCTTGGCTTCTCTGCTGAGAAGAGAGCCTTTAGAGGAAGAACTTCTTTTCCTTTCCTCTGAACAAGCCCAAGCCACAGAAACAGTAGCTGCTCTATTCTCCAACCAGAAGAGAGAAGGTGCAGTGCAATCCTGGGCATGGGCCACTCATTAATTCACTCACTCATCTGCTCATTGACTTGGTATTTATTAAATTTTGATAGTGTGGTAGGCCTGTGTAGTTAAAAAGATGAATAAGACAGTCCTTTTCTCCAAGAAGCTCACAGCTAGTGAGGAAGAGATGTGAAAAGAAATAGTTATAATACAATGAAAAAAATAATGCAGTGCAATAAAAGCTATGACAGAAATATCTGCTGGGTGCTGCTGAAGCATAAAAGAGGAAATAACTCTGACTTCTAAGTAAATTCCTTGAAGTCTAGAGGACAGAAAATGGAACTTTTAATTTATATTCAGCTCCGTTGGAGTCCTTAAAGGTTAATAACTACTTATATCTCTTATATTTCAAGACAGAAAGTTAATTTGAGGAAGCAGAAGTTTTGTAAACTATTTGCTATAGCAATGTTAGCGCAATAACAATAATAATAGCTATTACCATTTATTGGGTGCTCATATGTGCCAGGTACTATTAAGCACTTTACATACATCATCCATTTAATCCTCACAACAATTCTATGAGGTAGGTATTATCATCTCTATTTTATATATGATAAAATTGAGGCTTAGAAAAGAAAAGTAACTTTGGCTTATGTCTGTGTTTTTGTTTTTTTCCCCTACCAGTTATACGGTAAAACTAGGTATGTGCAGTTTCTTAGACACCACTGTTCACTGTCTCCCCATAACTTTGTTTTTAAAGAGTAAACTAAAAACTTGAAGTGCCCCTTTGTGAAATTTGGGACCTTTTGCTATATGTTTTGGAATCACAAACTTTAGAGGTGGAAGGGGAGTCTTAGGAATTCACATTTTACAGGTGGAGGAACTGATGCCCAGAGGAGTTAAATGTCTTGGCCAGGGTTACTCAGTGCTGTGGTGGGAGACAAGGCTTCTGTCTTTTAGGCCAGTATTCTCGCCACAGGGCTAAAGGCCTGAGAATGCACAGACTCCAGGATTTAGTACATTCATCTTTACTAAATGTTGTTAAACATTGTAGCCAACAACAAAAATATTCAAGATGAAACAAAATTAAGTTTTTGACTTAGGGACATAGTTTCTAGGTGATCATCAGCATAGCCACTTATTTGACGAGGAATTTGACCCACTGAATGCCATGTACTGTCACGGTGAGCAAGACACAGCACTACTAGCAGTTGTTCACAATTTAGTGAAAGGGCAGACATGGAATCAAACAATTAAAATAATTAAGTACAGGCATGTACAAAGATCTAGGATGCTAGAGAAATGTGTAAAGCAGTTGTTCTTAACTGGGAGTGGATCCCACCCCTATATCCTCTGCAGATATTTGGCATTATCTGGAGACGTTTTTGATTGTCACAAACAGGTGGGTGCTACATCCAATAAGCATAGGCCAGAGGTGCTCTTAAGCATCCTAAAATTCACAGGACAGTCCCCCATAACAAAGACTTGCCAGCCCAAAATGTCAATAGGGCTGAGGTTGAGAAACTCTGGTACAGAGCCAGTAAAATATTTTCTACAAGGGATGGGGGAGGGAGGGTAAAGCTTCGGGGGGCTGGTTATGGAAGAGTTTACTAAAGAGATAATGATTGGCTGGGGGGAGGGAAGATCCCAGCAGAAGGGACAACATGTGCAAAGCCACAGAAGCATGGTGTATTTGGGGAATCCCAAACACTGGGGGAAGAGTTGTGGGCATAAAGGCTGGACAGCTAGGCAGGAGCTAGACATTCACGCAAATATATTGTTAGAGGAATTACTGTAAGAAAAGCTGTTTGTTTCTGTGATGGCTATTTATGGGTCACTCAGGAGCACAGTCCAGCTACATATCTCTGTGAGCTAAAATTGCTGAAGAAAGCTGTTTGAAATGAGGCTTTTCTCATATTGCTTCCTTAGGGCCTGGGGTTTTCCAGGCGTTTGTTACTTTCTCAGAGATAGAGTGGGGGCTGTTTCAATGGAATGTGAGCTCTGAGAGGTGGAATAGCTCTCTGTTAAAGCCACTTAGCTAGTATCTCAATGCTATGATAGGATCACGTACAGGGATGTGGTGGTTATTTCTCATGCGTTAGGCTTATAGGCAGATGACGATGTTTATTTCCTCTTTTGTAGAGCAACCTAGTCCAGAAATAGGGATATGTGAACCTTAAGATTAGACTGCCACGTTGAATCTAAATGAGTTGCCTCCCCACTCACCCACAAAAAAGGGTAGGCACGTAGGCCATTCCAATCAGGGTTTCTCTTTTTCTTAAGCTAATGATCAAAGCAACTGACAAACTGTCACGGAATCTGCCAGACCTCACTCTGGCCTTGCTCCTTCTCCCCAGCTTCTGAACTATTCCTGCTTCTGTCATGCTCTGAGCCCATTCTTAGCAAACTACCAAGTCTCCGACTCCTGGTCTGCAGCGGTCCTGAGCCTGTTGAGCTCTGGTCCCAGTGCCTGCCTCTGCCCCCTGGTGGCCTGATGATAGAGCTTAATGGAGGTGAGTCACCCTTTTCTAACTCAGCTGGTTTTCTGGGCATCGTGTGGAAAACCGGATCACAGAAAGGGGTATGGGATTTTAGAGGATGAAAGGAAATTCAGGGAAATATTTAATTTGTGACAGCTTATAGCTTCTATACTCTCTCCAGGCCTTGGAATAACTGAGAATTTATATAAGAGAGGTTGGTAGGAAAGTAATGAAACACTATAAACTTTTGAGAAAAATTAAAGTAAATGCTATACAAAAATTTACTTTCCTTGTTAATGTTATCACTCTATTTTAGACTGAAAAAATTTATCATATATAACTTGGCTTGCTCATTATACTCTCACATTTGATAATTTCTATTTAAAGCGGAATTAATTCTCACAGGAGTTAAACATTTTTAATTGAATTCCTTTAAGATCTCTTCAGAGCTAAAATAAAGGAAGTTATATTCTTCTGAACTAAGTGTTTTCTTGATAGACAGACAAAAGAAAATCTTTATTTACTATAAGAAAGCTGAAAAAAACTCACTAAAATTCATCGACAAGAAATTTTGACACATGAGTCCTTGTGTTCTGAGTTATCATCATTTCCATCAGTTTCCACTTCTTACAAAATTTAATTTAATTTAACGTATATTAATCATTAAGATCAGCTTCTAATTTCCTTGATTATGGGATCTTTAGCTTTGCTCTTATTCTTCTCTGTCCTTAACTGTTGAAACAGAGTTGTAAGTATTTTGTTTATAATTTCTAGAGGAAAAAATAAACACTATCGCCTATTCCTACTACACTTTTATTAAGGTGAAGTCAATAAAAATAGACACTTTTCCATAACAGTATAAAAAAATAGTTTGTGTAATAGTGAGTATTCCATTATTTCAAATGTTCAGGCAGATGTTGGAAAGGAGTGAATTAAATGACTTAAGATCTCTTTCAACTCTGAGAAGCTCTGAAAACTCAACAAGTTCATAATCCTTCCTTCTTATGTGAAAATGGCAGGGTGCGTGAAGCGTGGCTATATCTTGTTCTTGCATTGAGCTGGCTGTGCCATATGGTTTGTCCTCTATAGATGAATTGTATTTCTCTGCTGTTAAGATTAATTCCTCAGAAAATCTGCCCATCAGAGTTTTTAAAAATTACTTTGAAGGAATACAAGCTGAAAAGCAACAAATGCTCTTAAATATGCAACAAATGCCCTTAAAAAGTAACAAATCCCCTTAAATATTTTATTAAACACAATTTAAAAGATTTGCAATCCAAAATTTCTCAAGGAAAAAAACTCCAGGAAAAATTAAGTATTTCTTCCGCAAATTTCCAAGGACTTCATTGTTCTATTCCTTGCCTTTTCTCTACTCTATGAGAATGTGGGAGGTGAGTGGAAGGAGGTAGATGTGCTTTCTTAGAAAGTGATTCCTGCGAACCAGGGGCTTTATAAGGATGAATTATCAATCCCTGACTTGAATTTTCTCTCCTTCTGCCTTAAGGTTAGACTTTCCCTAAGGGGCTAGCAGTGGGTGTGATTTCCTAAGATTTCTAGGTAGAGAAATTTCCGAATCTCCTTTGGTTTCCAATTCTATTCCTCCCTCTAGAACAGTGGGAAGTTGTTCCAACTATTTTGCCTCATAAATTTGATCCATTTAATAAATTCAATTGCACAAAACACTGATTGACTCAATGATTAGTATAATAGGCTTGGGGTCAGATAAACACTTCAAATCCAGGCTCCACCACTTAATTACTGTGTGTCTTTGGCAACTTATTTAACCTCTCTAAGCTTCAATTTCCTTAAAAATGGTACAATATCGGGCCGGCCCCGTGGCTTAGTGGTTAAGTGCACGCGTTCCGCTACTGGCGGCCCGGGTTCGGCTCCCGGCCGTGCACGGACACACCGCTTCTCCGGCCATGCTGAGGCCGCGTCCCACATACAGCAACTAGAAGGATGTGCACCTATGACATACAACTATCTACTGGGGCTTTGGGGGAAAAAAACTAAATAAATAAAATTATAAAAAAAAAAAGTACAATAATACCTATCTCAAAGGGTCGTTATGAGGATTAAATGAAATGTATATAAAGCATTTTGTACAGTGCATGCTCAGTAAATATTAGCTAATATGATGAAAATAATCCCTTGTTTTATTGCAGAAGCTATATTCTTGAAAATCAGGGTAATTGGAAAAACCTCAATTGGCAAGATGAATTAACAATCAAGTATCAAACAATCATATAATATCAACAATCAATAACATTAAATATATATTTTCATATCATAAAATTTACTCTTCTAAAGTGTACAATTCAGTGGTTTTTAGCATAGTCACAAAGTTGTACAACCATCACCAAAATCTAATTCTAGAGCATTTTCATCACTACAAAAAGAAATTCTATACCCATTAGCCATCACTTCTCATTTTCCCCTTGCCCCAGTCCTGGCAACTGATAATCTACTTTAAATATATTTTTAAAACAAAATGAATAAAATTTCTAAATCCATTTCCAAAAGATACTTCATTCATGTGGATTAAAAACCAGCTCTGGTAGGCAACTCTTCTCTTAAATCACCCTCAGTTGGCCAGGTGCTCCCACAAGTTTTATTTTGTACAGAACGGATCTAATTTTAAAGTTTTCAAGAGAGCCTGATGGGCTGAAAATGCAATATTTTTGTACTTGCATATTCCCTGATAGGCATATTTTTCTGGGTTTGATTTTCTAAGCACATATTGAGTAGGTGGAGAACAAGCAGATGTTTTCTCTTCGCTTCCCCAGAATTGCCCACTCAGCCTAGTATAAAAAATGGAATAGTCTTTAAAAATTTTTTTGTTATCTTTTGGTTAATGGAACTTAAATAAATCGTTAATATGTAAATGAATAGTAAATTCAAAATTTTCACTGCACAACAGAACCATGGGAAATAAGACTAGAAATATGAGTTTGCAACATGTTTGTAGAGAATTCTGAATTCTGAGGCCCTTTAAAAAAAACCACAGAGCTTATTTTGGTAGGCTATGGAGAGCAATAGAAGGTTTTGGAGGCAGAAGAGGATTAGCAATTATTATTATTTCTATTATTATTAACCAGACTTTGCAACTGACTAGATGATGAGGAAGGAAGAAGAGAAGAAAACCCCCAAAGATAACTCAGATTTCAAAACTGGGATATTGGTAGTGCAATAAATAGAAATAGGGAAGTCAAGAGAGGAACTGATTTAGGGAAAAAGATGAATTGTTTCAGTTTTGTTGAGTTTCAAGGACCCAATCGTGGGCTCAGAAACGTGGGCTCAGAGATAGATTTGGGAGTCACCTCTATAGAGGCTGTACATGAAGTCGTGGGAATGAATGGCTCACTTGGTAAGAAGAGAGTATAGAGTTAGAAGAGAGCTGAAGACAGACCATGGTGGTTGTTTACACTTCAGAAAGTGAGAAGAGGAAGAGAAACTAGCTGAGGCAGGGAAGTGGTCAGAGGCAGGAGAACTAGGACAGTATTGTATCACAAGAGCCAGAGGAGAGACTTAATAAGTCAAGAGGAGGAAGATTGAGAGTAAGTCATTAAATGAGTGTTTAGCAAACTCCATTGAAAGCTTTAAAGAAACAGTTTCTATAGAGTGCTAGGGTAGAGGGTCTGCTACAAGAGCAGAGATTCAGACAAGTTACCTTAAGCAAAGAGGTAACCTCACTTTCCATAAGGATAAACATCCATTCCTCCAACTCATTTGTTGAGCCCCTACTATGGCAAGGCCTTGTGCTAGGCACAGGAATCCAAGAAGAGCCATAGAACAGTGCTGTGGTTAATGTAACACAGCCACTCTCCACATGTGTTTCTCCCTATAATTCTTGTCTCTACCAACTAACTGACTCTCCACCCTACACCTCTTCTGTCTTACGTTATAAATTCAGTTCCTAGTTTCTGTTTCCTTATGATTCTCCGTGCCATGACCTTTCAAATCCCAAACCCTACTTCACAGCAATCTTTAAGTTTTTGCTCCAACTCTCAATTTTCTGATTCTCTCTTTGTTTCCCAAGTAAAATTCACAAGAGGTTCTAGTTTGTCCAGATCATCTTTTTTGCTTTAGGTCACATCTTGGGTAGTTGAACAGCCTATGAAATGAGTCAGAAGCCTACCTGCATTTTAATCACCTGTGGCCTGGGTGAGGGAGTGGAGGCCACATGGTGTGTGTAGGCTTTAGCATGGACTATGGGAAGGACAGCAACTGTGATTAACACATCCAGCAGGTATTGGGGATGAATCTTAGTCTAAAAATCACGTGTGTAAAGAATAGTGAATAGCTTTTTCTACAAACACTGCTTAATATTGACTTTGAGTTCCTATCCCTGTGGGCTAGAGGGAAATTGAACTTGTAATCCTTGAGGTGAGGCATCCACACTGATTACTGCTGAACGTACACTACCCAATCTAGTCAAGATGGTGTAGGGAGGATCTACTGAAATATCTCCACCACCAACCCCCCTTCTCTAAATATGTAGAAATGTTGGATAAAGTGTCAAAAACAGCTTAAGCTTTGGTTTTCAAATGGTAGAATAAAAACAGTGATTTTTTCCCTCATTTTCTCAGAAACTTGCGCTCCTTTAATTCAAAACTACAATGAGAATGAAAAATAGACATACAAATTCTATTTGCAATGTAACTAGAGACATCTGGAAGCCTGGTCTACAACCTATGAGAAAGGACTATTGGAATAGTGAAAGTCAAACAGAAATGTGGTAATGGATGCCTAGGGATGCAGATTTTATACAAAGCAAGAGTGACATAGCTCTCTAAAGAAAGTGCCCCAAGACACACAAGTCCTTATACAGAACAACGAGAAGAGGCAAGCAGGCTGAAGTAAGAGCTTTCCTATACGCATTTATCACAAAGATTTGAGATATAGGGAAAGTGATGTTGAAGAAGGACAAATAAGCCATATTTGTGGGAAGTATCTGTTGGTGAGGAAGAGTGGTGGAGATAGACTCTGCATCGTAAGCAACCCTGCAGTGCTGATCATGGGGAAAATTAAGG